TGTGTGTGTGTATGTACGTATGTGTGCGTGTGTGTGTGTGTGTATGTATGTGTGCGTGTGTGTATGTGTGCGTGTGTATATGTATGTATGTATGTATGTATAATTGAGGGACTACAACCCAAAGTGCCAACTATGATGGTAATAGTTTCAGAAACAATGACAAACCACTAGGTATTTTGCAGCAGTGAATTTTTACCTTTTATGAGAATACTATATGCTATACACTAATTTGGAATCTAAGACAGACAGACATACCTTGGTAATAAATTCCGTTGAGGTGGCCAGCATGACACTTGTTCATCCACCAACCAGATCCATCCTGTTCGGCACAGTTGCCTTCAAACTTATCATTGTCATTGTCCCAGGTACTGAACTGCATGCCATTGTGGGATGTGAAAAACTTGTCACTGGGATCATCGCCAAAGTCATAGCCATCAAAGGCATCTCCAGCGTCTCCACCAATGAAGTATGCATATGTCAGACGGTACTTGTCAGCCTCGGGTCCCACCTTGAACATGGCATAGTCTGCAGTACTATGAAGAAGGGAATAGAGACATCATACCTTGAGCCAATTCAGGGATCTCAGGAGTTCCCTCTTTCATTGGACAGTTACTTGGAATTGTTCACTTTGCTTCTTAAGGCTGAAATGTTCTCAGTAAGTAAAGATTTTTGCAAATCTAGCAAGACGCAATAGATGTGTGAGCCAGTCCAGAGCTCATGAACGCCACCCAGAATGAGCCCACAAGCCTTTAAGGAATCCCAATGAAAATGAAAAACTTCACTTACTTAAATGCTTTTTGTTTTTTTATCCTAAGATCAAATCAAGATGTGTGGATAAATTGGACTAAGTTCATATTTGCTACTTTTATTTAAATGTTTAACATTGCATACATATTGTCATAGATCACAAAAACTATCTGACAGTGAGTGACCCTTAGTTACTGCACAGAACTTGATGGAGATACGACTCCATTAGCCCCTCATACCACCTGAAGGGTGAGGTGCTAAAGGGTTTCTCTTTCCCAAGGCATGTGGTAGTGGCAAGAGGGAGAGCTCCTGAGGGCATTACAAAAACAAAGTGGTCCCTTTGTGGTCCATAGAACATGAGCTTAGGAGTCAGAGAGAGATTCTCCACTAGAAAAAACTGTGAAAGAGAATCGTAATTCTATAGAGTGGAGGGAAGAAAGGGCCTTGGTAGATGAACTGAAATTTCCAGAAAATATTTAACTTCTTTCCTAATCTCTAGTACTTGGGAAGTGGGAGTTATTCTCATAGGAGACATTCTACTGACGGTGGTATTTGCTAGGCTAAAAAAAAAAAAACCCATATGTTTAAGACAGCATATATTTCATTACTGCATAAACATAACAGGAGGGTTGGGCATTTTCTGTATTTTCATTAAGAATGCGTGCTGAAGATCACCAAATAATTCTGAGCAGAGGGAAGGTTCTAGATTACCAAAAAAAGCTAGCCAGTTTACTTTTAGGGTAGCCCATGATTTGAGAGAAAAAATGGTCATGAAAGCACAGGGAAATCTGAAGAGGTCAGATTTGATTTTCTTTTTTTTTTTTTGAGTTGGAATCTCACTCTGTCGCCCCGACTGGAGTGCAGTGGCCGCTCCCGGCCACCGCAGCCTCAACCTACTGGACTCTGACGATCCTTCCGCCTCAGCCTTCCAAGTAGCTGGAACTACAGGCGCGCGCTACGATGCCCGGCTCATTTTTTGATTTATTGTAGAGATGAGGTCTCGCCAAGTTGCCCAGGTGGGTTTCGAACCCGCAGGCTTAGGCAATTCACTCACCTCGGCCTCCCAAAGCACGGGATTACAGGCTGAGCCACCGAACCTGGCCCAGATTTGATTTTCAGTCAGAATTGTTAAGAAGGCAGGTTCCAGAGTCAGACTACTCAAGTTCAAATCTTACATCCCATTTACCAGAAATGTGACTTTGGGCAAGTTAATCCAAAAAAATTGGGATAAATAATAGTACTTGCATCATGAAATAGTAATTTGGATTAGATTAAATTATACTTTCATGCTCAGTTTCCGGCACATATTAAAAGCTCAGTAATGAGTTATTTTTCTAAATGCTTAGAATAAGCAAACCAAAACACTCAGATTCATCTTAAATAAGACCCACCCACCTCTTTGGACTGCCCAAGAACCCAACTGACTCCTAGGAAAAATGGCTGGATGTGCTCTTTGCATTTTCCAGGTTGTCTTTGCCATTGGTCTATTGATAGTTGGGAAGTACACATTCCTGACAATCTCTGCAATATAAAGAAGTCCTTTCTAAAAGGTACCTGGTTCTGCCATTCCAGTCTTCCAGCTGTACTCGTAATGCATATGGGATTGCAGACTGTGTGCTTATCAGATGAATCTTCTCATTTCCCAACCAAAACTCTGTGGTGCCAGTAGGAGACAGATGTCCAAACCCTTCTTTATATTGAATCCAGTTTTTCTTGAAATCCAGACTGCCATCAAGTCTCTAATTATACAATTGCACAGACATAAGTAGAGATTGAAGTATCAATGCATGTAAAGAAAATGCAATCAACATTTTGTTGAAAATATGGAAAGTATGACCCTATCAACTGCCAACTGAGTGTGGACAAGCTGCCTCAGTTTCCTCATGTATCAAATAGGAAAAATGATGCTTACTTCTTAGGATTGCATGAGGGAATATAAGAGAATTACTTAGCCGGGCTTGGTGGCTCAGCCTGTAATCCCGTGCCTTTGGGAGGCTGAGGTGAGTGGATTGCCTGAGCCTGCAGGTTTGAGACCCGTCTGGGCAACGAGACCTCATCTCTACAATAAATAAAAAAAAATCAGCCGGGCGTGGTAGCGCATGCCTGTAATTCTGGCTACTTGGAAGGCTGAGAGGGAAGGATCGCCGGAGCCCAGCAGGTCGAGGCTGCGGTGGCCGGGAGTGGCCACTGCATTCCAGTCTGGGCGACAGAGTGAGACTCCAACTCAAAAAAAAAAAAAAAAGAGAATTACTTAAAAGAGTGTCTGGCATATGGTACATTCTTAATTCATGGTAGAATAAAGGACACCTAGAAATTTCAGAACTCAGAATTGATATTGATAATTCTTGTACTGATGGTAGAATGTTCAAACTATTGCTCAATCTGTGTCTACCAACCAAAACTTCCATGGTTCACTCCCTCTGAGCTCCCCCTGCAGTTCTGCAGGAGTAGCTGTAACAGTGGCAGGAAGTAAATAGAAGGTAATTACAGGAGCCAGGAGAGCAGTGGCTATCAGCAGCTGACAGCGGGCAACAAAGGGCCCTTGCCCTGGAGCAGCCTCACTGTATACTGTGGGAGGGCTTCATCTTTTTGTGAGGAGCAGTCTCAGGTCTTGCTCTACGTGATGAAAGAGGCCCCTTCTTGTTCTCTGTCACTATGGTACAATGACTGTGTCATCATGAATCTATAAAGGCAGTGCCAACACAGTATAGAGTCAAAGCACAAACACTGAAACCAGACTGCTTGGGTTCAAATCCTGACTCTGTTATGTGATATGGGGCAAGCTACTTAAACTTTTGTGCCTCAATTTCCTCCTCTGTAAATAGGGGTAATAACAGTACCTACCTCATAAGGATGTTACAAGGATTAAATGAGTGAATATTCACCAGGTGCTTAGAAGGGTATCTAGTGTAGGACCGAAACACTGCAGACATTTACTGAATATAATAGTGAAGAAAAAAGTTAACCTTCTGAAGCACAGTCCATCCATTTCCATTTCCATCAATTTCACAGTAGACTAAGAACTGCTGCTTAGCTTTCAGAGGTTTGATAAAGTAAAGCCCACTCTGTTTGGCTCCCTTATTGGCGATGTCTTGACAATCTGAAGAAGGAGAAGAAATTTTCACTGTTATCTGAAATCCAGGTAACACAATACCAGCCTTGCAAATGAGCTTTTAACATGTAGTAAACTATTCATTTTCTGAGAAGTGTTTTCTTACTTCTCACATCGTCATTCCTTTCAAACTATTTTTAGCTGCTCCAGAAAAGACTAGGCAACTGAAATCCTTAGACTCAATGGCTGGATGCTTTCCAACTTATTCCTATACATTCCAATACATAGAATCTCCTTTACTTTGTATATTTACTTTGATGGACATAATCCCAGTATAAACCTCCACACTTACCTTTCCCAGTTGTCTCTTGTATTTGTACCGTGTCTTTGCAAGGTTCTTGGCACTTTGCTTCAAGCTGGGCTACCTTCTGCTTCAGGTTAATGATCTTTTGATTATTTGAATTATATATTTCCTGCAAAAATCTACAAACAAAACAAAAGATAAATATTCCTTTGGGAAGAGTAATTTTGTATTTTCTTTTAAAAATGTGGCCTTGTTTGCTCAAGAATGACTTCCTGATAAATTATTCCATTATTGGAAAAACTGTAATTAATGTTACCAAATTCAGGTGAATTAAATGCTAAGCTTTTTGAAAAACACACACACAAAATCAATTAAAGCAGGGATGCAATTTTGACCTGAATATTTTCACCTAGTACGGGGCATGCAGTCTCAACTCTGAACACAAATAACAAAGTCCTTGTCAGAAACAAATGTAAGTGATAATTCTGAGTGTCCCAAATTCACAAGAGGCAGCAGATAACCACCTATGTGAGTGAGGAGCCTGGTTAGTGGGAACTTCTCCTGATGATTAAGAAGCAGGAAAAAGCCAGGCACGGTGGCTCAAGCCTGTAATACTAGCACTTTGGAAGACCGAGGCGAGAGGACTGACTGAGTCCAGTGGTTCAAGACCAGCCTGGGCAACTCGGTGAGACCTCATCTCTACAATAAGTCAAAAAATTAGCCGGGCGTGGTGGCATGTGCCTGTAGTTACAGCTACTTAGAAGGCTGAGACAGAAGGATCGCCTGAGCCCAGCAGATCGAGCCTGCAGTGGCCATGTGTGTGCCAAAGCAGCTTGAGAAATTGAGATTTAGGGGAAGAAAAATTGAGGAAGACACTAAAACTGAAAACCTTTGTACAGAAAGTTTGAGTCCCTAGGAAGCGATTAACAGAGACATTTCATTTTCAAACAAAGGGAGGAGAATGCACAGATTTGTTCTGCTGTGATCAATGTGTATGCAGCTTTACAATGTTTGTTAAACTTAGTCTCTTAAGACGTGCTTTTTTTTCCTGCTCCACCTTCAATATACTTTAGTAGCCAATATTCTTCCTATGCCTCTGTTTGCTAGTTTCTTACCACCAATTTGTTGACTTTTTATTAAAAATTTTATTTTCAACCCCCAAATTCCTGAGTTTGAGTTTATGTTGTAAGATAAATGGGGATGGGAGAGAAAATATTTAGATAAATGTGGTTATAATTGCATTTGGAGACATCTAGAACATCTTTCTCCAATGTAATTATTTAAAAGCGATTATAACCCAGTACAATTTATATTGTGCTGAAAACTCCTAATTGTGTTCAAGATAGTAAGGTGTAATGCTAATTGGATATTATGAGTGAAAAAAAAAACCATAAAGATTACTTTCACTGAAGTATGGAATATTAAATAAAAACTAAATCAGTCTTGTAGAGCAAATTAAAACAAAAAAATGCTTACCGAATACTTGCTTCATGTGTTAAAATCAATGCTTCATATTTCATGATTTCTTCTACCATTTTCTTGGAATTCACAGTGGCTTTCTCTATCACATCTGTAACATTAGATCACAGACATAAAGACACTTAAGCAAATAGAACAACTAAGACAACAGCCACAGAACTTCACAGATGATGATCTTATTGTAAGTCTTTATTTTCTCACTTGGTTTTGATGGTTCATCAGGATTGTAGCTGACTTGGATTGCTTTGACCAGTTCTTTGGCTTCTGATGTTTTGTTTTCTACTTGATTTAAGATGTCTTCCAAAGCCTGTAAATCCCTGTCTACTTTGTTTTGGTAAGTAGACAAGAAATCTGCAATGCCGCAGGTAGTTGGGCAATAGCTACCCTGAAAATATAGCAATAAAGTGATTTAAAACACTGACAAATGCTACACTCAAAATCTATGAATAAAAATAGCTAAAACCTAGACTATGTGTTTAAAAACTTTCAAGTCTCTCTCTCTCTCTCTCTATATATATATTGTGTGTGTGTGTGTGTGTGTGTGTTGGAGTCTCACTGGGTGGCCCAAGGTGGAGTGCAGTGGCACACTCATGAGCCACCCCAGCATCGACCTGCTGGGCTCTGGTGATCCTTCACCTCAGCCTTCCAAGTCGCCAGAACTATAGACACGTGCTCCCACACCCGGCTAACTTTTTTGATTTATTGTGGTGACACGGTCTCCACATTTTGCCCAGGCTGGTCTCAAACCCGTGGACTCAGGCAATCTTCTTGCCTTGGCCTCCCAAAGTGCTGGGATTACAAGGCTTGAGCCACCGTGCCTGGCCATCAAATGTTATTTATAAGAGAATTGCCCCTATGCCTCTGCCCCTCTTCAGTTCAAACATGAAACAACACACATAAAAAGTACTTACGAATCTTTCATCTAAGATGCAACAGTTGTCTTTGGTAGCAACGTACTAAAGGAGAAAAAAAAACAGAAATTTCACTAGTTTGTCACCTGTTTTCTTATTTGCCAGCTTTCTGAAATGTGTTTTGTGAACAGCACACTTACAGCCAGGCATGTTGAAGAGAACAACGAAAGAGCATGGAAGTAGAGAATGAAACTCCGGGGGTGCAGGGACCAACTCATGATGTCTGGAGTGCTCGGTGCTCCGAGCCTAGTCAGCACTGTGACCTCTCTGGCTTCAATTGTCCCTTTATGTGAGTTCCTGGGATGGCTGGAACTGTTAGAGGCTGGAGCTGATCACGGGACCTCCTTACCAGAAGGGTGGGGAGGTCTTTCCCGTTCTTTTTTCCTCATCCTGGTTTCCAACCTACGCTCGGACAGTTTCCCAGATTCTGCACACAGGTTTAAGCTCCTCCTTTTTGGCCCAACTCAGCTTTTAGCCTCTGATCCAAAATCATCTCCAAAGCCTAGTAAAGCATTAGCCATTGCTGTGAGGAGGGCGGGGGGTCTGGGAGGCTGCATGACGCAACTTCTTCTAGTACATGGTTGAGAGAGCAAACAAAGAGCTCTGACCTCCACCAGAGCAAACCCAGCCCATCCTTAGGATGGGGCCTGCTGCCATAATCTAAATTACCTAAATAACTTTTTTTAGTTCAGGGATGAGGTTACAGAATCATTTTTAACCTGTGTCTATGGCAGAAGGAGACTTGACCTTTTCCTGTGTCTCTATTCAGTATTCTCAGGAATGAATGACATTCCTGCCCCTCTTGTTTGAACCAAATTCCTAGGTCCTCAGTCCTCAGTGAACTTTTGAAGAACTTACTGGCATGACACCCATGTGCTCCAGAGAAGAAAGGAGCCAGGAGTTCACTGTTCCATCTAGTTTCCCCAGTGGAAAACCTGAGTACAGGAGGCAGGGACTAGGAAAACCCACTTCCCTCATATCTGACAATAATAGAAACATAGCTGAAGGACTGGGGCAAAATGGTACATTGAGGAGAGGTCGTCAGCTTGGTTCTGTTCCTACAGCTTCCTTGTGTATTGGGAAAACATGCCTGTAGTCCCTTCCCATTGGTAATTTACAAATTGTGCATTGCACTATTGTTTTTTGTTTTAGTCTTAATCTCACTTTATTGCTTGTGCTGCAGTGCAGTGGTATGGTCATGGCTCATCACAGCCTTGATCTCCTGGGATCAAGGATCCCAGGTGATCCCCTAGTCGCAGCATCCCAAATAGCTGGGGCTACAGGTGTGCGCTTCCATGCCCAGCTAATTTTTGTAGTGACAAGGTCTTGCTATGTTGCCTAGATTGGTCTCAAACTCCTGGGCTCAAGCAATACTCCCACCTCAGCCTCCCAAAGTGCTGGGATTATAGGTGTGAGCTGCCGTGCCCGGCCTTACACTATTATGAATGTCTTTATTTTTGGTTATTCATCAGCCCTCTTCTGAAACTAAGGTTGCTGCAAATTTTAATAAATTATATTAATGGGAGAATAACATCTAGTTGGAAGGAAATTCTAACATCTTAATGTTTAATTTCAAGCCATTAAAAAAGAATGTTTATGCTTTGACTTGAAAACAGATAAGGCAGGGCTTGGGGGCTCAGTCTTTAATCCCAGCACTTTGTGAGGCTGACGCGGGTGGATTGCCTGAACCCATGGGTTCAAGACCAGCCTGGACAACTTGGCAAGACGTTGTCTGTACAATAAATAAAAAATAAGCTGGGCGTGGTAGTGCGCACCTGTAGTTCCGGCTACTTGGAAGACTGAGGCGGAAGCACCACTGGAGTCCAGCAGGTCAGTACTAGGGTGACCGTGAGCATGCCACTGCACTCCAGTCTGGGCGACAGAATGAGACTCCAACTCCAAAAAAAAAAAGAGTGAAATCAGAGCTAAATCTATATGTTCAGTAAATAGCAAAGAATGATAACAAAGTGGATCCATCAAAACCAGACTTGTTGCCTCTTCTCTCCTCCTTCACAGCTCCTCTCCCTGGCTGGTCAGTTATTGCCAATCACATCAGCATACCACCAGCCAATGAAAAGTCTTGCAATCTTTCTCATCTATCTTATCTGCTCATCTAATCAGTTGTCAATGTTGAATTCAACATGACAGTGTTGGTATTACTTTCAAACAGCTCCACATCTTTAGTGGCATTTACAGCAAGCTTATATTACACGTATACATGTTGTATCTACTTCATTAGATTATAAACTGATTTCTATGGCTACAACACCTAACAGTATTGTTTAACACTCAAGAAACATTTGATGACTTAAATGAGTTGCCTCTGTGAGAGGTAGGGGAAGGGGGGATGAAAAGTAGGACTGGGAAAAAGGCTTTATTTTCTCCATATGCTCTAAATTTTTAGAATTTTGAAAACATATATATGTTCTCCACTAAAATGTGATTAAAATATGACATTACTGGTCATTCACAATGATTTATTTGGTGTGCTAGTAATACTTCTTGATTTTTTTATTTCAATATCAAAGATGACTAAGACTTTGCCTTTAAGGTGAATATAGCTCAACTGGAGAACATATATGTATACACAAAGGGTCCCGAAAAATGTATGCACATTTTAAGAAAAGAAAAACTGTATTAAAGTTGTAGATGGATACAAGTCATGTTGGCTTCTGTAAGTACAAGAGGTGCTCAAAGTGGTTACTATCAGCATCTAGATACTTCTGATATGGCCAACTAAAAGCAATACATACATAGTATACTTTTTTTGGCACCCTCAATCCTTGTTATAAGTTCTGGTGACCATCTGCTTGAATTTGAATCCTCTTTCTACAACTCACTAGCTATGTGACTCTGTACCAGTTACTTAATCTCTCTGAGTTTCATTATCCATGTTGATAAAACAGAGATAATTTTTACAGAAAATTTTAACAGATAATTTTTACAGAAAATGTTAAATAAATATATTTGGCATAAAATTTGTATAAATAGGAATTCATTTAATATAATTGTAAGAGGGACCATTATTGGTAGATTTGGCTCATGGGAAACAAGCTTTGTTGCTCCAGCTACAGAAGGTTCTCTATAATAAATAATGTGTTGCAACTAACTGTAGTCTGCTTCTGTAATGCTCCCCAGTAAAGTACCTGGTTTTTCAAAAAAGTCTATCCAAATTAGTTCCACCCATTGAAGGTCAAATGATAATAGAAATAGATTGCGTGCTTTGTGAGAAGGTGTACTTTCTTTCAGTAAGAGTATTCAATCCAAGTGTATTCAGACATAGCATGTTGTCATTGTCATTCTTTTTGCAAAAGACTGTAAAATTTTGCTTTGTTTCCATTAGATGCTTCAACATGTATAATATTTATAAGGTTGATAAACATTTACATTGAGAAAATTAGAAATTCTATCTTAACCCACTTTAGAAGTTTAGGTACTTGTATTTCTGACGTTTTAATAACTTTTATTGGCATCTGAGATGTGTTATCACAGTTTTAGAGAAAAAGATTTGCTTTTACCACGATCTTGATCCCTAAATCCAAATCATGTTAGACAAGATATGCTCTCAGAGAAAAAAATGGCCAACAATAATTTTGTGACCTATGTTGACCTTGAAGTCACTCTAGTATCACTTGTGTTTATTAAATTTTAACTAGTTGTTTCATATTTGGGCCAATTTTTTCTTTGATAAATGATAAATGATTAGTGAATTCCAGGAAAGAAGAATATTTCTTCAATCACAGTTTCTTTACTTCCAAGCTTGTTTTTTGAGACAATAGCATAAGTAATCTTTCAGCCAAAATAATTTAATTTAATTCAGAGATCAATGGGCTTTTTACCAAAATACTAATTTTCCAAATTGCTTATCACCTGTTTGTGTTCTTAATTTGAAAACACAACATCTACTGCCAAAGAGCTTCTGAATTTTGATAATTCACTTTGAGTCCTTTGTCTGTTTTCCTTATCTTGGCTGGGAAATTACTTGTTGAATTTGAATTTAATTTTGTAGAGTTAATTCATCAATGAAGAAGACTTCTTGACCTGGTGGCAAATGATAGAGGCTTGGAGGAATAATAGAAAGACCCATCTATTTTGAGCATCTTCTCTGTGCTAGATATCATGCTGTCGTGTAGTTGTTGTTTTGTATATTCTCTCATTTAATCCTCACAACAAGCCTAGAAGGTAGATATGATTACCTGCATTCTTTGAACAAAGAAAGTCTTAGAGATGTAACATATGCAAATCACTGTGCCAGAGCAGGAATACAAATTCATGAGGTCAAACACCTGTGCTTTGAACCATAGTCTTAATATAACCATGAAGCACTTCTTAATCTAAAGTGATACACAGATGTAAGGTGTTATGAGAATCAGAGGCGTGTACATGATTATTTGAACACATGTTTATACCTATCTTTCTATCTAGCTTCTTCTCTGGGTTAGAAACAAGATGACTGGACGAACTTTTATAGTCTTTGAGCCTTTCTCAAACCTAGATTTTTGTTGTTTTATGATTAGTTTTTGTCTTCAGTCCATTTTTTTTTTCCTTAGAGTTAGAGTCTCATTATGCTGCCCAGGCTGGTTTCAGACTGAATTCCTGGATTCAAGTGATCCTAGTTTTTTCTGAGTAGCTGGGACTATAGACACATCCTAGTACATCTGGTTTCAGTCCAATTTTAGATGAAAGCAGTTCTTCAATGCTGACTTCATAGTTCAAGTTATTTATTTATTTATTTATTTACTTATTTATTTATTTTTGAGTTGGAGTCTCACTCTGTCACCCAGACTGGAGTGCAGTTGCCGTTCCCGGCCACCGCAGCCTCAACCTGCTGGGCTCCGGAGATCCTTCCACCTCAGCCTTCCAAGTAGCTGGAACTACAGGCGCGCGCTACCACGCCCGGCTAGTTTTTGATTTGTTGTAGAGATGAGGTCTCTCCAAGTTGCCCAGGCAGGTCTCGAACCCGCGGGCTCAAGCAATCCACTCACCTTGACCTCCCAAAGTGCTGGGATTACAGGCTGAGCCACTGAGCCCAGCCATAGTTCAAGTTTAATATGACTTGATAAATTGAATTTTCTCAGTAAGTTAAGATACATTGAGTGGTTCAAGGAAGCTCAAATCAATGCTACCAATAATATGTCTGCTTTTCTAGTAGGTAAACTATTTCTAGATCTAAGCTAAATTCATAGCCTGACTCTTCAGGATTGGATTTCCTAAAAATTGGCAGAAAGAAATGATCTGTTTTCATATTGAAAACTAGTCTAACCTAGTAGTAAAAATATCCCATCAGGGGCATCAGAGCTGCCTGTTAGAATATTTGTTTTGTGAATAAAAATAGCTCAGAGAAAGTGAAAATGAAAATGTTATCATGGTAGCCTATAAATAATGTACTTTTAGTTTCACTATGTAAAT